TCGATGAACAATCTGAAACTTCATGAAGGGGTCAATGAGCTGAAGAGTTTGGGGACCCCTGCTCTAGAGAGATTGAATTAGGGAAATATCTCCTCTAAAGCATGTTGAAGAGACTTCAGGTTTAATCCCTCAAATCAATCTTTCCTAGCCTTGTGTGGACTTCAGCTTCCAGAATTTCCCAATTAGCATGACCTTGCTAAGAATTCTGGGAATTGAAATCAATCATCTGGCAGTTGTCATCTATTTAGATGCTTTGGATTATCTCACTTCATCTCTATGTTAAACTGCAGTGAATCTATTGACCTTACATGAACTTCTACCTTTAAAAAATGCAGAAAAATCCAGCACTGTTACTTTCTTCTGTCTCTTAGCCCTGAATTTATGCTACAGACTGAATTCAGAGGGCATGAGCCAACACATATTGGATCTTGCACAATCTTGTCTTCCTTTTCCATGTCCATTCTCCACCCCACTGCAGCATGAGAGGAGGAAGATGATGAAATGCCCTGACCACATCCAAGTCTCAAAGAAAAGAAAAAGGCTCCTGACAGCTGGATCAGTGTCAGGCTATGACTGGCCAAGGCAGGGAGGGCTTTGACTAGTCTTCCTCAACGGGAAGCCCACAGTCGCTGGGAGTCAGGCAGCATATAAATTTAATATATTACTACAGGGTTCCTCAACCTCAGCAAATTTAAGACGGGTGGACTTCAACTCCCAGAATTTCCCAGCTGGCTGACTAGGGTCAGAGACGGCCCCTGTTTCACCTATAAATTGGCTTTAATAAACCCAGAATGTTTTTATATGATGCTCTCAGTAAATGACTTAGGTTCCTAAGAGAGAAGGCAGAGGGAAGTTTAAAAGACCAGTGTGCATAATGGGAAACTGAGGGCAGGGTATGATCCAGGGTTTATGTGGAGTAAAATGAAGGCTTGAAGAAATGTATATTGTTGTCCCTTTTTTTACAGTATTTAAAAAAAAATAATATTGTTGTGAAACTTACAATATAACTTGTCCTTACCCATTGTACACATCTTGGTAAAAGAAACTACGAGAGCAGGAACGCCATTGAAAATGGAAGAGGGGGGACAACAGGATAGGCAGTGGGAAGGAGAAAGCGGGATAGCTATTGTGCCTGCAATTTCCAATGAAAGACTCCACTGTGAGCAAATATTTGATTATGCTCCATACCATTCTCTCCAAATAAAATAACGCTCGCGCAAACTTTAGCAGCAGAGATTGCTCTCAGTGGCTGTATATGTTTAGAAATATATTTAGATGGCTAAGTATAAAAGGGTAGCTAAAAATAATTGTGTTTAAATGTTAGTATGGTATTCTGTTCTTAGCGAGTTTTGGTTTATATCAAAAGCACAGGGGGAAAAGAATAAAGAAAACTTAGCACCCAATTAGGGAAACTGATATGTGATGGTGGCCTTGATGACAGTGATGATGACTGCCCAGCAGTATGGGAGCATCTAACCTGGTTCGTATTTGATTAGCAGACTACCAGGACATCTCAGGACTGTAGACTAGACTAGACTAGACTAGACTAGACTAGACTAGACTAGACTAGAGAGAGGGAAGGGAAGGGA